AAAACTTAATAGAGGTTTAGTATAAAAATAAAAGAATTAATTTATTTGTACAGTTATTTGCACCTGCCAAAAAACATATGATATTTGACGTATTTTGACTAAAATTTTATGGGTATATTTACACTCTTGTCCTTTTTTTGTTACTTTGAGTTAGGGGTATTTTGGTACTTTTGTAGGCCATACTACAAAATATAACGATCATTAGTCAAATTTAATGGTTGCGTCATTTTTGCTCTAGTTTTGCAAGTTTATAGGTATTTTTGAAAATTGAAAAAGCTTATAGTGGTGAGTGCATTTTGAATAAAAGTTTATAGATATTTTTGCATATTTACCCAATATTATTTAGTTAAAATATTTGACACTCATATGATTTGTAATTTATATACATTTTTATACATTAAATAAATTTAATTTAGTATTTTAGTAATTCTCAAATTATTCCAAATAATACGATTTTAGTAATTTATCAACTTAATCTGGATTCTCCCTATTTCAAGTGACTTATAATAGGATTTTTCCAAAAGAAAATCTCGTTTTTTTTAGTAAATTGAAAATAACTTTTTATGTAAATGCATGCATACCTCTAACCCTAGGGAACATGGATTAGTATCCGAGTGTCAAGAGCTCTTGAAACTCAAACCCATTTCTTCATACCTATTGGGCAGATACTATCTCCAGTTCTTAATATAAGAGCTATAAATGATTGATAAATTTGCTTCCAAATATAAGACCTCCATTTATTTTGTATTTCTTATTTATCCAAACTAATCCTATTGATTGTATATGTTAAGAGGATTTATATCAAAATAATAGTTTCAGAGCGTATTTAAGAAAAACTAACACATATTTTTGACAAATAAATAAACTAATTATTTTATTTAATCTACTCAAATTAATTAAATAGATATTAAAGATCCAGGGTAATATTGTAGAAACTTTTCCTTCTTGTTCAAAGCATCGATCCTCTTTTCAATTAGCTGCCCACCATCCCAGACAAGGATTGCATATTTCTTTAGGTTGGATAATTCATTGGGGTTCTTTTATTTCGGCGTGAACACGTATAGGGTTCAATGATAGCACGTTTCTAGCCATAAACTATTTAAATTTTATGACAAATTTAATACTACTTTTAACTGTTTATTAGTATGTGTAAATTAGTTAAAAATATCTTGCAACAAAATTTAATGCCTCCAACAGCGGAAGGAAAATGCGACCAATGTTTTTGAGAATCAGGGGTTTTTTGTTCTGGGCTCATCGCAAGGTGGTTTTTTTTAATTGTCTTGGGCTTCTTACTTTTCAGACTTTCGCAACATGAGAGCAACGTATTTGAAGGTAACCCTGGTTAAGGTTCCAAACCTTTTATTAATTATATAAATTGTTATAAGAATATAATTTAAAATAATAAAATTTGAAATTAATGATGGAATTGGAATAGCAACAAAGACACTCATCAAGACTCAAACTTGGGGCCCGTTTAGTTCAATTACTAAGTGTTTAGAGATGGTAATACAATGCAATGCAATAAAGTGCAATGTAATGTTTGTTACCATCAACGCGTTTGATATGTTATTAAGAAAACTGGGCAAAATATTTTTTTTTTTTGCATTTAATCAAATAAAAATAATAATGAAAAGTCTGGAAAGCCCTTCAATCACAACCACAATCATCTTCTTCCTCCGCTCTTCGTCCGCTCACGCGCCTCCTTCTGCAAATGACATATCAGTCTTACTAATCCATTTTTATTCCCTTCTTTAATTCAATTCCAAATGCTCAGACCAAGCTTGTACACCCAACAAAACCATGAGCCATCAAGCTGTAACCCCCTAAATGCCTCACCCCAATAGAATACCATCACTACGCAGATCAAATGAAAAATGAAATATTGTGGATTAAATTAACATTGGGAGGGTCCGTCGGATATTTTTGTTGTTAATAGTGGGATGATCAAAGCAGTTTTTAAGGATGAGGAGTTGTTGGAAAAATGCAAAAGTTGGTTAGTCGGCACAAGTAGGTATTGTTATGATGTGGAAGTTGTAGATATAGACATAGATGAATTAACTTGCTTTTACTTTGTGAAGGAGAAGGAGGAGATGACAATAATGGAGGGAGATGACAAAGAAGGAGAAGAGGGAGTGGTCATGGTAATGAAGTGAGGGAGATTAGAGACAAAGGACAAGGTGTTAGTGGGAGAGACAATCAACGGAGAAATGTTGAGGGTAACTATTGTCCTTTTACATTAGTTAATGGGTATAAAATGGGCATTTTGTATGGAATTGCAGTCCTGTAATGATCATTCATATGCTCCCCTCATATGAATGATGAATATTACCAAAAGATGTGAATAAACATTACCATTGCAATCTTTTCCATCATCTAAAAGCTCAACCAAACAGGCCATAGATGGTAATGGGGTAAAGATTACCATTGTAAGGCTATAATGCGTTTGAACCAAACAAGTCCTTACTTCTAAAAGGCACGTAGATACACATAGGGTTGCAACCTTTATCACTTAAGAATTTTATTAACATGATTCTTTGGTGAAAGATAAAGCAGTCTTCTTATGTGTAGAGGGATTCCTATTTGCATGGATGTCTTTCTTTATGCTTTTGTTTTATGTTGCATTTATTCCAGAGTATAAAGGTTTAAGTGTGAGGGATTTGATCGTACACATTTATTATGTGTTTTTATATGCTTAATTAAGGATCTTTATCATTGTTTATAGGCTCCTTTACTAGTATTGGTGTATATTTCGGATCAAGAGTTTTTGCACAAAGTTAGTCTTTTTGGAGTTAAAATGGTCATAACTAGTGATTAGTTGTTACTAATTGATTTCCAGGAGTAGTGATATGTCAATTGGGCTAATTCTTATTGTAGGACACACAATATAAAAAATCAAGGAACAACATGACCAAATGAAAAAGTGGTGTTTCTGTCTCCAAGGCGAATGTGCAAAAAGTTGCAGCTATGCGTTTTGCTTCGAGTCAACCCAAAATCTGGACTCAATATCTGCTTTGTACTAATAATGAAATGCAGATAAATTGTAGACACCGATGGTACATTTAACTTAGGTTTTCTGGTTAAAAAAAAAACTTAGGTTTAATAAATTTGACTTTGAGCTAATAATTCCTTCGTACACATTATTTCCAACAAAAAATTTATACCGGAGCATGGTTTTAATAGTCACAGTCAAAATAGTCTAAATGAATATAAGTCTGAAAATCTTGCTCAACAAATCTTGTTAAAACTAAATTGACAATTTAGCATTTATGACTTATTATTTGACATACAAGGCTTGTTATTGGTAATTGGATCGTGGAAATATGCCAATTTTTGTTAAAACTTAAGTTAATGTGAATAGCTTTTTAAAATTTGTTATTTTTCATACTAAACTTGTCATTGACAATTAAATTACGAAAATAATGCCAATTTTTGTTAAAACTTAAGTTATTGTAAATAGCTTTTCAACACTTGTTATTTCCTATATTAGACTTCTCGTTGGTAACTAAATTATAGAAATAATACCAATTTCTGCTAAAACTTAAATTAATATTAATAGCTTTCCAAAACTTGTTATTTTTATACTAAACTTGTCATTAACAACTAAATTGTGAAAATAATGTCAATTTCTGCTAAAACTTAAGTTAACATAAATAACTTTTCAAGACTTGTTATTTTCTACACTAGACTTGTTATTAGCAACTATATTATTGAGATAATATCAATTTCTGCTAAAATTTAAGTTAATGTTAATAACTTTTCAACACTTATTATGTTTCAATTTGAACCAAATATTTTCTATTAACTAATATTAAATCTCAATTTGAACCAAGTCTTACCAATACAGTCAAGGGAACAAACGCATTAGTGTTTTAAAAGATTCTAACTATAATCAATCAAGTATTATTATAATAATAGCACACACCAAATGAATTGACCGACCAATGATGAACATGATCAATTTATTAAGCAAAAGCGGGAGGAGTAATAAGACGCCCCATTATGATGAAGGCAAGTAGCCATATAATTTGAATATTGGCAACCTTGCTTCCATACTTAATTCTTCCATAATTCTGATTGTGCTTTGCCACCTCAAAGTCTCCTGCATATATATTATAAATCCACAACTCTCTAACATGTCATTGTTAATGCATATCTATATATGTATGTATATTAAAGAAGGAGAAAGAAGAGGCAGGAGAGGAGGATGAAAGACAAAGATGAAGAGGGGGAGACGGAGAGGAAGAGCGGGAAGAAGAGAGGGAGGAAGAAGGAAAAGAGGATGAGATGGAAAAAGAGAACAAGGAAGTATTTTGGTCTTTTTTCCAATATTTCATAGTTCATATTTAAGACCTCATCTCCCGCATTTAAGTACCTGTTTTGCAATTTTATATATTTAAAGATTTTTTTGTTTTGGTATTTTTTCTTCTTGTTTTTTTTGATAATTATGTATTTATAAGTGATTTTAATAAATTAAATCAAAACATAATCAACATTCTCAAAAAAAAAAAAATCTAAACAGAAATCATCATGAACTAACATCACCTTCAACTAATATCATTTATAAAATTATGATTATTTAAAATCACAATCGTTCACTTCTAATGCAGGTACTAAATTAAATATTCTAGTATTTCATGTTTTGATTATTAACATCCTAATCCTATTGTTAAAATTACTGCTAGGTTTTTTTTATCATATCAAAATTTTTATATTTTTTTTATTAGATGCCATGTGACTTAAAAATTTGTAATTTTTTTTTTATATAAACTTAATGGTTGAACTGCAAGCATATTTTAGCCTATTTTCAATTTAATTTTTTTTTTATTTTTAAAAATCTCTATCGAGAAACTTCTTGGGGTTTAATTTGATTTCACGGAAGGGGCTGACTCGTTCTTAACTTCTTTTACTTCCTGGCACAGTAATCTGTGTCGCCTCCTATAATAACGAGCCGCTGTCCTGTTCACTTCGTCTTATATATAAGATATCCGAGCGCTCACGATTTCCTCTTCCCTTCGAACGCTGAAACCAAGGCCAAACCCTAACCCTAGCTGTGCGATTCTATCCATGGACGCTCTTGAATCGAACCCTAATCCTTCTCCATTTCTTCCGTCCGAAACAGTCGTTTCGTACGATCATAACCCTGCTCCTCCGCCCCCGGAGAGCTTGGCATCGGATTTGCAGACGACATATGAGCAAACTGCGAACTCCGATTATCAAAACTCTTCGAAAACCCTTGCTTCGGATGGTCCAAACGTTAACGGTCAACCCCCGTCTGCTACTGGGAATGGATACGAGAACGGACTGGATAGCAGTCAGGGCGGTGCCGATAGCTGTAGCAATTCGAAGCCTGTGAGTGTGAAGCCGTTGATTTCTGAAAACGCGTGGACGAATAATACACAGAGTGGCACCGACAAGGATCACTCTGGTGGGGAAGAGGAAACTACAAGCAAACGTCGCCGCCGTAGTCGATGGGACCCGCAACCTGATTCCAATGATCAGAGTGGTGGTGAAGCCGGTGGCGGAACGAAGAAGAGGAAGTCACGATGGGCCGATGATGAGCCGAAGCCGGTGATTCAGCTTCCCGATTTCATGGGCGGTATTGAGTTTGATCCTGAAATTCAAGCTTTGAATAGTAGGCTTCTTGAGATCAGTCGAATGCTGCAATCAGGTTTGCCTTTAGATGATCGCCCTGAAGGTGCTAGATCTCCTTCACCTGAACCGATATATGATAACATGGGAATTAGAATTAACACTAGAGAATATCGTGCCCGTGAAAGATTGCAAAAGGAGAGGCAAGAAATCATTTCTCAGATTATCAAGAAAAACCCCGCATTCAAGCCACCCGCCGATTATAGGCCACCGAAGCTTCAGAAGAAGCTGTACATACCAATGAAAGAATATCCTGGTTACAACTTTATAGGGCTTATTATTGGTCCTCGAGGCAACACACAGAAGCGCATGGAAAGAGAAACTGGTGCTAAAATTGTGATTCGAGGTAAAGGGTCAGTGAAAGAGGGTAGACTGCAACAGAAGAGGGATTTGAAACCTGACCCTTCAGAGAATGAAGATTTGCATGTTCTTGTGGAGGCAGAAACACAAGAATCACTTGATGCTGCCGCAGGCATGGTGGAGAAACTCTTGCAGCCTGTGGATGAGGTGTTGAATGAGCATAAGAGGCAACAGCTTAGAGAACTTGCGGCCTTGAATGGTACAATTAGGGATGAAGAATATTGCCGGCTGTGTGGTGAACCTGGCCATCGCCAATATGCATGCCCTACGCGCACTTCTACATTTAAGAGTGAAGTGGTCTGTAAGCATTGTGGGGATGGTGGTCACCCAAGCATAGACTGTCCAGTGAAGGGAGCCACAGGCAAGAAGATGGATGACGAATATCAGAACTTTTTGGCAGAGCTGGGAGGGACAGTTCCAGAATCATCTATAAAACAGACCAACACGTTGGCAATTGGTTCAGGCAATTCTGGAAGCAATCCTCCTTGGGCTAACAATTCTGGATCGACTGGCGGTACATCACAAGCTGGCTTAGGGGCTAATCCGGTTAAAAAGGAAATTGATGATACAAATTTGTACATTGGGTATTTGCCGCCTACTCTTGATGATGATGGTCTGATCCAATTGTTTCAACAATTTGGTGAGATTGTTATGGCAAAGGTTATAAAAGATCGGATGACTGGTTTGAGTAAAGGATATGGGTTTGTCAAGTATGCTGATATCCAAATGGCAAATAATGCAATTATGGCCATGAATGGCTATCGCCTTGAGGGTAGAACCATTGCAGTGAGAGTTGCTGGTAAGCCGCCTCAGCCTACTGTTCCTCCTGGTCCGCCAGCATCAGCCATGCCCACATATCCTATTTCAAGCCAGCCAGTTGGTGCCTATCCATCCCAACAATATGCTGCTGGTGGTCCTTTAGGCGCTGCACCCCCTGGAAGTTATGCCAGTGCCCCAGTTCCATGGGGACCTCCTGTTCCTCCACCTTATGCTCCTTATGCTCCTCCCCCTCCTGGATCAACTATGTACCCTCCTATTCAAGGTCAATCTATACCTCCATACGGTATTCAGTATCCTCCAGTCCAGACAGCCCCTCCAGGTGCCCCATCCCAGCCTGCAGCTTCTAGTGAATCACAGCAGAGTTTCCCTCCAGGAGTGCAGTCTGACAGCAGCACTTCTACTCAATCTACGTCGGCCAATATTTATGGGAGTTCAATACCTTCTATGCCACCAACTGCTCAACCTACATATGCTACATCTTATGGTTATCCGCCTTACTATGGTACAGTTCCCCCTCCACCTCCCCCGCCTGCCCCTGCACCTATCCCGACTTCAGACCACATGCCTTGGGCTACCAATCCTTCTGTGCCGCCGCCTCCATCAACTACAGAGAAGACAACGTATGGTGCAGATCAATCTCAGAGCATAGGAAATGTGCCTTGGGCCACAAATCCTCCAATGCCACCCCCTTCTTCAACTGCAGAGAAGACAACATATGGTGCAGATTCGGAGTATGAGAAATTCATGGCAGAGATGAAATGATCTGGTTGGTCTGAAGTCATGCTTATAAGCTATGAAAGGTTTGTGTATTATCCATGTTACTTTTCTATGATTAATTCGTTGGTGGCCTTGTTCAACATTATATGCTGATAGAATTTAACGCTCTGAACCTTTTTACTTCTAACCTAGTTAGTTTCGTGGAGAAGTTTCTTATCAGTATTTAAGTCCATTTTCAAAAGGTTTTGCCCAACAAAAATCTTGAGTCGTCTCTGATTTTCTCGTTATTAGGAACTTCAACTTTACAGGTATTTAATCTAACATTGTGATGTTGGATGCATTTCTCTTATCAGTTCATCTATTATTATTAAGGCACTTCAGGGAAGTAATATTTTGAGTATTTGCTACATATTTCTCGGAGTTATCATTCTACAGGAATAAGAGAATACTGACTTTTAACGCCTCTGCTTTTCCCTTTTAATCCTAAAGATAGTCTTTATGTATAAAATAAGTTACCAAACGTTGTTTTTTTTTTTTTTTCCAATTCACTTTCCAATTGATGTTCACTTTTTTTGGGTATACCTGAAGGGCCCTTACAGTAAAAAGGTGAAAAACATTATGCCTATGTAAGTATGTGATTCTTTATGCGCAATGTTTCCTGGATTAATGTTTTTCTCAGCTCACGTATTAATGTTGTTGAGTGTGATGCCATTCATATTTTAATGCTCAACAATAATCATGTGGAGCAGATACTAGTTAAAGTTGTATGGTTCAGGTATATAATTCTTATTCTCTTGAGTATGTTCAAGAAAAATTGAAATAGTTTAATGTTCTGACTCTTTTTCTGTAATGAAATAATGGATATGCTCATGGTTCTAATGTGGCGTTTTGCAGATTGTGTCGCTCTCATATCTAGTTTTAAGAGTTTTTTCTTTTCCTTCTATTCTCTATATGGCAGATGTCTGTGAATGTGTTCTTATTATATGTTAATATGTTCTCATGTTACTGTTTTATAACATTATTCATGATGTTGCAGTTTTTAACTCTTCATTGTTGTTATCTAACGTTGTGACAGGCTTGATGTTTCTTGGAGCTCTTGTGAACCTGATTTCTTAACCTGTTGCCATGACTTTCTTGGAAGTTTGGGACTCACTTCTTTAACCTTGCTGTGCTCTTATGACATTTGCAGAGATTTCGTCTAGAAGTTCAGGAGTCTTCATACAGGAGAGGCAATATCAAAGGGGCTTTCTGTTGTTATGATTATTATTGATCTTTGCTTATCTTGTTGGACTTACGTATTCTTATTTTTCCTTATGGTTCTCATTGATTCATACAGGGATGTCTGGTTGCTAAAGTTTTCTTCTGACAGTAATATTTTTGGGCAGCGGGTTCCTTCTGTTAAACGTAGATACATTTCTCGGTTAAATCATATTAGTTTATTAGAACTGTATTCTAACTTATTTGTAATTTTGATTGCAAGCGTCTTTTTTTTGACAGTTGTACTTATTTTAATTGCCTGGTGCTGAGGCTGCCTTTTAGATCCTGATGATAATATTATCCCGAAGTCACCTTAGGTTTTCATTTGAATATTTGGGATCTGTGGTCAGATGCCTTTCTAAAGATAATTGAATCCATTTAGATTTTTTTTTCAAAAAAAAAAAATCATTCAGTCCTGTAAAATGTCAGACCGCGGCACACATGCATATTTTGCCTCAATTAAATTCAGCTGACATGATGTTATGATCACCAAATTCTTGGATGATACAGGCAAATATCAGGTGATGACATTTGTTTCTGAGGTGATTTCATGTTATGGGCATAAGTTGAAGGGTGAGGCCCATACTATTGTTGATAGCTTTCTTTGACTTGTTTTCACGCACTCGGTTACCATGTAATGCTGGGCAAAGATTGAAAGTGAATGGTTAAAGAATTCGAGTTTGGGAGTCTTTCCTAATATCATGAAGGATGTCTCTGCTCATTTGGATTCAAGCTTTTGGGTTTCGTTGTGGTTCATGATATCTTAGGTTTTCTTGCTGGTGAATGCAACATGTCAATTAAAATGTTCCGTATATGCCGGAGCTGTGCTAACGCACTAGTGTGTTTGGCAGAGAAGAAGTGCTCGCTCTGTAGAATTTATTTCTTTTTCCACACCGCCAAGTCATAAAAATAGTACCATGTTTGGTTTATGATACATGTCATGAAGTAATAAATGGGCATACTGTTCCCTTACTTTTTCTATACACTGTGGAACTTAATTTCTCATTAGAATCTTTTGGACCGTCAGATTCCTGAGATGGTTAATTTTGACTGGAAGTAGTTGCACTCTCTCAAGATTTTACCTTGAAGGTTTTAAGCTATAGCATGTTGAGAACTGTCACAGGAATTGTCTTCCATCTTAGCTCAAGGTTTTGCCATAGTCAGAAAACAGTTAACTTAGTAGTTGGTCTCTCAAGTCTCTGTCGTGTGGCTTTGGCTTCGTGTTGCACTCTCCTAACATAGTAGTTATCCATCACAGTTTATGATTATTCATAGATATGTGGGTATCAGTTAGCTATTCCTTTTCAGTGGCTGTGTTAATTTTCTGTGGAATGCTATGTACCCTCATGCTTGTGGAGATGTTTAAACTAGGAGGCACCGGCCGCTGATGTTATGTGCTTGATCACAACCGATGTATAATTGTTGGATGGCTGAGATATGTATGGTCTAAAGCATTCTTATGTGCATCATGTGTTCAATTAGTTTTTTCTTTTCATTTTTGATAAAACTGTGTTTTACATTTAAAGGAAAAAAAAATCAATTTTGGCAATAATCTTTGTAATTAGTGTATTTATTTTAGTAAGGAAAATCATCATATTCATTTGCTGTGCATGCATTTGCCTTCCTTTAATCTTATTCTATTCGACTAGTTGCCATCGGTCATGCAAAATTGCATGTTTCTGTACTCTTTTTTAGATGGTATTTTGTAACATTTGGTCGGGAGTTGGATTATTGAGCTCTCTGGTCTGGTTTCTATTGTCTTGTGCCACATTGATTCAAAGGATTGGCAAATTCTGCCCTGATTGATGGCTGATTTCTGAGTTACATATTTTTGTTACTGTCAGCTATATTGCGTACCTAGTGAATATGACCCTTGGCCTCGTGGTTTTCCTTGTGTCTGCGTGTGATTTTGATAGAATGTCTTGTAACCTTTTGGCTAGATGGCGCTTGCCTTGTCGTTTGAGCGTAGATGTGGTAGGTGGTGGGTTTTTGTCAAGTTACGCCTTTAATCCTATTCCCGTGTTTCCTGTGTTGTTTAACCTTTCTTGTTTGTCACAAGGGCGATGGGGCCACGATAATAAAGCGAAGGCGACCTTACAGTGAGGTTGATATCGATGGTATATTGTATGCTTCGGGTTATCATCATTTGGTTAAATTTAATTAGAGTCGAAGCCTTTTGAACCAGCTCAAGTAGTAAGGGTGGGATTGTGATGTGGGATGTGGGTATATGCTTAAATGCTGTTCTATGTATCATAAAAGAAAAACAGTGAAGGGCGTACGGGTGTTAGGATTAACTTGTCCCAAGTGATTTTTGGTAGATGTGAGTTGTCAAGTGCTAAAGAGTGTTTTTAAGTGATTTTTGGGTTTTGAGCAAGTAGTCTCGATTTAAATTCTTCTTTTGCTTTTGCATTTATATATAAGATGAATATATATCAGGACGCAAAATTCATTGACAAATTGGTCTTTTTAATTTCAAGGGGCTGGTGGGTGAGGGTTGGTGCTGTAGCATTAGTTTGTGTTTGAGAAACAAAATTTTATGAAATAACAAAATCTTGGATATTTCGTACTTGAGAAGTTAGATTGGGTTTTCAGCGTTAGTGGTGATTTGGAAATCAGTGATTATTTTAAGAAATGATAATTGCAAGGGATGCCGTCATTTTTAGTTCGTTAAATTAAATTTGATCAGTTTTGGTTTTTGAAATGTGAATCTATGTAGGTTTTAAAGAAACCAACAAAAAAAAAATCATATTTTGATTTCAAATTTAAAGGATTAAAATTTAAAAGAGATCAGAAGTTAGTTTCAAACCCATTGCAGTGATTGTCGTTGTGCAAGTTTTTGGCTGGTGTTTTGTACATGGCAAAATTATGAGGTGGTTATTGACCTTTGAGTGTATAATGTAGTAATTCTTTTAAAATAAATTAATTATTGACCCCATCACTAGAATTTTAAACTTGAATGTGAATTGTTAAAAAGTAACACTGAGATTTTAGTTTTTGTACAATTGAAGTCTTGGTCACCATGAAGGCTTAATATGACAAGTAAAATATGTACGGTGCAGTCATGAAAATGTTTATATACGTATGCATACTACTTTTCTAGTTCTTAATATAAGACTTATTTAATTAATTTGATTAGATTAAAGAAGTTAGGTAAGTTAATTAATTATAAGAAATGTGACACGTTGTTTTAAAAATACCATAATCATCTTTGTTAATACCCCTCTCTCTTCTATTTGATTATAATTGAAGAAGTATCTATAGAGGTAATTTAGAAAAAATTGATAAATATGATAAATGAATCTTATATTTAGAATTTAAACTAAATAAATGAATATTATATTTAGAATTAAAACTAACTCAATAATTAGGCTTTATATTAAAGACCGGAAGAGTATATATATTTGGGTAAATGAGAAGGCAAGCTTTAGCTTAAGTCGAAGGTTGAAGTCATCAGAGTGCTACCTGAAACCTCAGGTTCCCTGGAACGGTTAGCAAGGTCTCTGTACATTTGGTTGACATAAGCAACGATGCTCAAAACCATATTCACCCCATGAGCATTCTTTGCTAGGATGGCAATCAGCCTGTTGGTAAGGTGTTTGGAAAAGGAAAAGTAATTTATAGGTGTTATAAGTTAGGTTGTAAATTGGGGAGCTGTTTGCCAAAGTTTTTAGTCAATAGGTGAACAGTTTTTTTTAAAGTACAATTGTAAAAACTCTTGTCTATGATTTGTGTAAAAGTAGTTTTTAACAATTAAAAGATATTTTTGTCTTTATGTTTATGTTATTCTTATGCTTATCTTTATATTTTTTTTTTGCTTATTATATTTATTTTTAATATTTTCTTAAATAAAAATAATTTTTAATAGTTTGTATAATATTTAAATTTTTAATATTATTTTTTATTTATATTTATATTAATTATGTAGAGTATATTACTTAATTAATTATGTAATATTATTTGGTTAAAATTTTTTTGCATTATTATGATTTTAATTTAAATATATTTTATTCATTAAATATAATTTTTTTCTATTATAATAATTTAAAATTATTATATTCTGGAAATTCATATTTTTAATCATTTTTATTATTTAATAAAGGTTATACTCATGTTGATCATTTTACAAATTAAACTTACTTATTCAATTAAAATCTAAATAATTTTTTTACTTTACAAATTAATTTTTACAAAAGTTAATCTAAACATTAATCATATTATTCAATCTCACTTTTTTCAAAGTTAAATTGAAAATAAGTTTTTTTTTTTACTGTTAATCCAAGCAGACTAAAGATATATATCTCAATGAACAAATATCCAAATAAGAGCAAAAAAGCAAGTTAGTAAATCTCCTTATTTGTGTTGAGTTTTTAAGAGTCAGATTAAAAATAAGTTATTTTTTCTATTACTAATCTAAACGGACCCAATATATATCTCAATGAACAATTATCCAAATAAGAGCAAAAAAGCAAGTTAGTAAATGTGATTACACCGCACAAGCGTTTGTTTCCAAATTCAAGCCGAAGGATAAAGAATGGAGACATGGACGTTACAATGACTATGGTTGTGTTAAACAAGAAATTGCTATCACGACTATTCAAGTTCTAGTTACAAGAATCAAACATATTGTTCTAGCATGTTTCTTGCTTCGCTAAACCTTCCATAACACGGTCACAACTTAATATAGCTAATTAGTGTAGACACAATCAATACGTATAACAATTAAGTAACTAAATTACAAAACATCAAGTTCCCCAAAAAATCTCAATCTCCAACCTAAATCCTCCATTTCTCACAATTTGCCCAATCCTTCAATCCAAACATGTGATCAATCTTTTCTAAAACGTGACAACTCATTTGAATAACTAGAAAACCTCAATTGTGACCAATCAATCCGATTCCCCATTTTATAACTTAGGGTCCCAATCTCCAACATATCATAAACGAACTTCAAGATCAATAAATCAAACCGATTAAACCTTACTTCTAATTCATATAAACTTAACTCAATCATTAGACCACAATTTAAATGATTGCATTATCAATTTCCTACAAAGCCCTTAAATTATCATCAAACCCTAACATCAAATCACACAACTTAAAATTCAATAAAAGTAAACCAATTAGACACTTAAAGGGTGTTTGGACCGCAAAACGAGACAAATTCCTTTACATATTTACTTTGTATACCATAAAAACACTTCTAAAACTACGGTTTTGTTTTTACCCAAACACCTTTTTAATCTACTCTTATTAGCTCATTTAAACATAGCCTGACTGAACAAAACTCTCATCCCTCTCAGATTCACAAGCCCTAGCCACACCATCTCAATTAAATATAAAAAGCTAGGAGGAGAAATGTAGAAATCAATAAATAATTAACCATACTGTTATAAAGCTTGAAATCACTTCAAAATGGCCTAAAATTGATGCTCCAGCGGAGCCCAAACATTTTTCTTCTGTTTTTTTGCATCTCCAACTCCCCTTTTGGAGGTATCTATATCGCCTAAAGCGTAATGAGAAAATTTTTCTGTTATAGAAAGCATACAGAGCATTAAATCAAGCTACAGTTTACCTCATCTCGATTCTTCCAAATTTAATTATAAATTTTTTATTTTGATTATACTTCTCTGATCCTTAATATAAGACGTATTTAGCTAATTTGATTAGATTAAGGAAGTTAGATAAGTTAATTAATTATAAGAAAAATGACACATTTTTCTTAAAACACCATAATCATCTTTCTTAATACCCCTTCTCCTTTTTTTACTTGATTATGGTTGAGAGAGCATTTATAGGGATAATTTAGAGAATATTGATAAATATGAGACATTGGTCTTATATTTATGACTAAAACCAACTTAAAAATTGGGTCTTATATTAAGCACCAGGGAGTAGAATGAAAAAACCAAATCAAAAAAATGAAAAAGTTATATTATTATTTATATTTATTTATTTATTTAGTTCATATATTATTTTTAGAATAAGGTTCCAGTTAACTTATAATTAAGATATAATATAATTTTTAAATAGAGTAAGTCTTACTCATGAGATTCATTGTTCAAGCATTGCCTTGCTCTCTTCTTGTTGGACTTTATTTAATATAATGACTTTCTTTTTGTGTGTGTTTATCTTCATTGAAACCATCAACATTTCATAATTTAATAAATCAAATAGATGATTTTGCGTCAATTACTTCCCCTCAAAATATTATATGGAAGTTTAATGAATTATCAACTATCATTTACGGTGGCATAAAAAAAAACATTATAGAATTTTTTCCCCATCGAATTTAAGTGAAATTTTACTAGTTCTCAAGATTAGGAATTTCTTCACTGGACTTGATCAGGAGGTATTGAGCTGTAGCAGCTTAAATTTTTTGCCAAGAATATTTATATACGTTCCACGCATTATATTTAAAAAATATAATAGCAAGTATAATTAATGTTCGAATTTATTGATGAGCTTTTAGCTAAGCTTGCAGAGTTCTAATAATAGGATTAAGTTAATTTTTATTATAATTTTTGTAAAATAATATATTTCACCCAATACACTTCATTAAAATTTTTAAATAAAATTCCCAAGAATAGTTTTTGTTAAAATATGCTCAGCTTATTTGTTATATAATAGAAGTGCAGACCCGATGCATAAAATATCCTGCTTTCCCAGTGGTACTGTTCTTGGTTTTCATTCTCTAGGTCGTTGGTTCGATTCTTGCCCTAGCCTGCCTTTTTCGCCTTTTTGGACTCAGTTCATCTTCCTCATTTCTGCGACCATGGATGGAGACCAGCCATCTTCTGCTCGCAGGAAGGTATAAATTTCTATTCGAATTCCGGCAATTCTCTCTCATTTCATTAAACAGGATTCGATTTCAACTCCCAGTGACTTCGATTTCCTCTGGCAGGTAAAGTTCGCTCCGAGATCTCCCCCTACCAGGAAGCCTAAACCAAAGACGCCGAAATCGTAATTCCGCAAAATTCACTGTGAATTTCCACCATTTCCCTTTGAAATCTGTACGAAAATTTTCTGATTATTGTTATTATGGTTGATGCAGTGAAGCTGGAGAAGAAAATGATGGAGAAAGTGCTCAAGCTCGAGCTCTATTGCGTCACATGAGCGTAAGTCTTCCCTGTTCTCTGATTCTGTTATTGTTCTTTGAAAATCTGAGCTTAAAAATCATATCATCATATTCTTACAGACTCTTGGTTCTTGTTCTTATTTTGTATTTGATTCAATTGCCGAGTGCCAGTTTCGAACACGTGACTTGGTTGGTGATTCTTAAATTGCTATCACCATCAAGCCAAAATTTCGAATGGCTCGTTTTTCTTGTTTTGTTAATCTACTTGTTAACTGAAGGCGATAACCGGTTTAATTGCGCGTTTTGGTCGGTAAGAGATTTAGAAAACAGTGACCAAAATTTGCATTCCTGGCTATGCCCAAAACAAATTTGCATATTTGGCCCAAAAAGAAAACAAAGTTATTGAAGTAGATTAAAATCTATAGGAGGAACCTAGCTATTTTCTCATAACGTGAGTTTTGTTGATTATAATTTCCTCCCTAAATTTTAGCTTGATGCAATTTGATCCCTATAACTATAAAATATTAGTCCTCATATTTAAAAAAATAAAATTACATATTGCAAAAAGGTTGGGTGCTAAAATTTTATATAATTAACATTGCATTGAGTTAAAATTTAGGCAGCAAATTTCAACTAAGTCAAAATTATAAGAATTGAACTTTACCAAATCAAAAATTTAAGAATTGAATAACTCTATATTCTAATCAAAACTATAGAAACTAACTAATTTTCGCAATGCCAATTCATCGCAATTGCAAGCAGAACCATCCTCACTCTGAAGGCGGTCTCCAATTTTATTTATTTATTTAGTTTTTCAATATCATGTAGTCTCAAAAAGAAAAAATAAATGCAACCAGATGTGACCTCACGTGATTTTAAGTTCTTACTTTAAATGTATTTATTATTGTATTTATTTTTACATATTCATATGAAACATTGGGGCGTGTTTGGTTGTTTAGCAATAGATCAACCTATTTTCCGACTTTTTTCTCCTTTCTTTCGTAGTTGGTGCTTTATAATATCTTTCTCATGGCTGATAGACTGAGGTGGCAATTCTTAAGATCACTAGGACCCTTTTGATAGGCTTGAGAGAGCATTTTGATGTTTCGTTAAGATGTTCAAAAGAGGGGGAAAAAAAAAAAAGGCATCATGCTAAATAGTTAAGACTTGAATCGTTTTTTTATTTTATTCTTAAATTTCTACTTGTCTCTGGGGATCGATTTGTGCCCCAAAAGAAAGTCAAACCGAAGCATTGTTACAACATGTCTAAAATGATAATTATTAAGGATTATTGAATACTTGTGATTTTTTCTTTGGAAAAAATTGTTGAAAACTTTGAATTGTTAATCAATTCATGACTGTAGAGGATCTAGCTTCGGTAACCTGACCTGAGGCAGCCTTGCTTCTCTCTAGGAATTTGTCCCTTCCTTTTTTTTATTTTTAATTATTAAATTTCAAGGAGAACAATTTTGTGGGAGTGTCAGCTTATATTGAATCTCTGTAATTCCTATGTCAAACAAACATACTTATGGGCTCTATCCTTTTCTTCTTGCTGATATAATACTGATATATTTTCAACCTGGATTTGCAGGAGAGCATCACAAGACGAAGTCCTAAAGTTGAAACAAAAGGTAACGATCTTATTTGTACTTGCGCCTTGCTTGCCACATGATATTTGCAAAGCATGTTCTTACATTAATGATCATATGTTTACCATAATCTTGCATCCCAAATGGTATTTTCTGTTGAGCATGAAGTTTCACTTGATTTTGTTCATCACCTCAAATTTCTTACAGAAAATTGACGTGTACTTATCTGTGCGTCTTTTCCTGTATTAACGAAGTCTGTCGTGGTTTCTTGCCCAGAAGCCAATCTCGATTTCAAGTATCTTTAATTTGTAGTGCAAATAAAAGACACTGAACTGGAACCCAAAAAAAAAAGGAAATAATGGAAAAATAATGGAGTTTGTAGAATAAGCTATGATGTCCTGGTGACTGCAATAGCAAAAATTTACAAGGTTCTCATGCGTGAAAGTTTTGGAGCAGAATGTGTCTGGAAATTTGTGTTGCATATGTTTGTTTTATTTTAGCAATCTTGACTTCTCAATAGAAAGCGTAAATTTATCCTATTAACAAATGGAGTTTATGTTTCAGTTTTAGGTAGGATTTTGAAGAAGCACTAGCCGGTTACTACATATTCTTTTCTTGTCTCTATCTAACTGTATCATCATTTGGCGACATATAAAATATCCCCATTTGCTTAGACTTGATCAATGCACAAGTTCCCTTGAACCTTCTCTAGTGATATTTGGTGACAAGTATATTTTGTGCCTTTTGGAGTTTGAATAGCTTGATATATGTTTGATAACCACTAACCAGAGGTTGTCATGTTCATTTTTCCTTCTACTCTGTGCTTCTGCATCAGAAAGTAAATTCTGATATATCTCTGCATCGTGCATGTTATCTCATGACAGTTGCATGGCCTTATGTGTGATAATTTTTTAGAAGTTCTTGAAAATTAAATAGAGGTAAAGATAACTCCCGGTCTATTTATGGTCTAAGAACAGTAAAAATGCCTCAAGAAGTTTTACTTTTTCCCTCTGAACTCTTCATTTTTACAAAGGAGCTGTTAATTGGCTATTATAATTATAAATATCTCTAAACCATAGTACTAACACCGCAGTTTGACTGGACGAACATTTTTCTATTCTTGAGTAGCTTTCTGAATCTGTGATCAGTTTACAGTTTATAGATAAATTCGCATTACCTTCATCATTGTTTACCTTTGGATTAATTTGACTGAATCCTTATGTTCTCGGTTAAAAATTCCAGCCAATGTGCAAGTTGCATTTGGTCCTGGTGCTAGTTCATCGCCATCCCTACGAACATATGGTAACAGTAAGGGCAAGAATAGAGGTCAAAGCAGCAGTAGCTCATCATCCAGAGTTTCTGGTAATGGGGAAGATGTTTTAACATTGCCTTCAACTGCTGTGGAGAATCAAAATGATGTTTATATGATAGATGCTACTAATGCTGTCACCGATGCATCAGCTAGGAAAACAAATAAAGAATACCGGGAACCATGGGTAAGAAATTGTCATTACTGATCGTTTCTTATCCTATCTACATCTTCCTAAAAAGAGCAAGGTCTAAGCATTTTTTTTTTTTAAAAAAAAAACTGCAGGATTATCAATCTTATTATCCTACCACGCTGCCCTTGAGGAAGCCTAATTCTGGGAACCCAGGTATGCTTTAATCAAATTCAACAAATGATCCATCAATAAAATTCAATTTCGTCAATGAGACTCGATGGAGAACATGATATATCATATCCAAAAAGTACTTGTAATGTGATGGCCAATGAGTTCCCGAGAACATAAAATAATTAATATCAGCAAAACCCTTTTTCAAGTTCTTTCTTAACTAATGAACTATAGATCTACGATGGCATTTCTGATGAATTTATTGAGCTTTGTAACATTGAATTTCGTTTACCTGTTTCTTTTTTCTCTTTTAGAAATTCTTGATGAGCAAGAATTTGGGGAAGCTGCTACTAGTGTAGAATATGATGAAGAAGCTGTTAATAATGCCGCAGAACTTGGTCTCTTGGTTAGTAATCACAATAAAACGTGTTAATATAAATTCTAAGCTCTTTTTTGTGCAGTGCATATCACTGTAAGTATGCATGATAAAATTTCAACAGGATGACAGGGACGGAAAAAAGATGCTTTTGTTTCAGCTCCCTGCTCTGCCATTGGTTAAGCAGCCGGCCAGCGTGAAAGGGAAGGAGAAATTAGGTACATCAGAAGCTTCCATAAAGGGCTGCAATCTGGAAGATTTGTCAGGGGGCTACATGGGCAAAATGCTAGTATACAAGAGTGGAGCAGTTAAATTAAAGCTTGGAGAGAACTTATTTGATGTGAGTTTTACAACTTGGCTCTGAAATTTACATGTGGCATGACCATGGCTAGGGACATACCAAAAAGTTACTCAGCAAAGCTAAGAACAAAATTATCTTTTTTAATTTGATAAAGTAACTGAAGTATAAATGTCTGAGTTGAATATGGTACTAAAATCAGCGTTAAACTCAGCAATTCTTCTCATGGAAAGTAATTAATCAAACTTATTGCTTGAGTTATGAGCATTGATGTTTTGTTCTGTTACACGGATTATGTCTTCGTAGACTGCAAGAATTGATCTATTGTGTCATAGACATGATTGGTTCTTCGTTTACATTTTCTCAGCTTCATGCATCAAGGTTACTTTAATAGATATGCTACGTTGAAGATTCTTATATTGAAAGTCTAAAGTGCTTCATGTTACAACCTATATAGTTAGGGAGCCTAGTTTCACGTGCTACAACCTCAAGATGGTAGTAACAGTTGATAATAACAAACTTAGTAGTTGGTACTATGTATGATGTTTTAGTCACATTATCTTGCTTGATAAACTTTTTCTGGTTAGATTCTTTACATCCATGCACTTGTAGGAAAGGAAAATGTAAAGGGACATTGTTGTGTGTGACTTACATCTTACCTTTCAATCCTCATCTTTTGTCCCCACGATATACCGTATACCTTTACTTCTGTGAATGTAAAGAATCTGAGGACACTGTCTGATTTTACTACTTGAGAGACCATTTTGCTTATCTCTTGAGAACTACACAAAAAGTAGGCACTACGAGGGATCTAAATCCTACTACCGTTGCCAAAGGCCTTGTAATCTAGTGGTGTTGACCCTCCTTTGTAAATGGGAGGTCACGGGTTTAATCCCATTTGTAACATCAGGCCATTTGTGCAGGTGTCTGTTGGTTCAGATTGTTTGTTTGCTCAAGATGTGGTGGCCATGGAAATTGCAGGAAGAAACTGCTGTGTTCTTGGGGAACTTAACAAAAGGGCTGTTGTAACTCCTGATGACTTTGATTGAGCAAGTAGAATCAAATATTGACCTGTTTGAACAAGGAGAATCATAATCTGTAGTTAGTGTGTGCCTATGTGGATACTGGATAGGGTATATTTTAGATGGGTAAATATGTGCCTAGAAATGCTAATTCTGTTGATTCAGTTGCAAGTTGAACTGCTGTAGCTTCTTCCAATTATTGACTTTGTTTTTATTATTTGCAACCATGCGATGAGGAATCTAATTCCCATTTTCAGTATTGCTTTTATGGGAGATTTCATATGTGAATCATGTTTCATTTGTAATGTTCATATTAATTTGAAATTCCTTAATAATTTTTGGTCTTTCATCAATGATTTGACATGATTAAGCACAAGGTTTCAGAGTTGAGTTTGTGGTACTAAACCAGAAAGAGATCTTAGAACCTTCAAAGACACCATTCAAATTAAGATTGAAATTCTTTTTTTTTTTTTTACTTGGTCAAAACTAATTTGACTAATATTAAATTAATTACTTATCAATTTAGTGCCAGCATGATTCTATCTAAATATACATACTTGGCCCCTTTTAAATGTACGTGCTTTAAAAATTAAATAACATGAAAATTAAGTGACTTATAACCATATTTAATGAAATATAAAAGGAAAAGCTCGTGATATAAAATTATTGACATACTTTATAATTAGGACCAAAATTTTTTTTTTTCTAGTTAGATCTACGTGGTATAATTTAATTCAGCTAATTGGACTTCTTTAAATATTCTGTCTCATCAAAGGTGGATCCAAAATTTAACATTAGAAAATTGAAAAACTATTATACATAATTCTTTATATTTTAATTAATGACATATTATATGACACAAATTATTTTAAAAATTATGTTAAAAAAATTATGGAGAATAATATCATGTTAATTAAATTTAACATAACTACAATTTAAATGTAAACTAATTGAAATTGATTTCTTTTTAGTGTTCAATAAAAATATATCATCTAAATAAAAGTTGAGGAGATATATTTTAGATCAGTTGTCGAATCACTCATATGCAATGCAATGCTCACCGCACATGTTAAGAGAAAAACAAGAAAGATTAACAAAAATAAATTAAAGATAAAGTGAAATTGAAAAGTTGAACCAATCTTGACCAAGCATGAGAATTTAATTTAATTGCTGCAGTTCGGATTAAAAATATGTCACTTGATTCCTTTGGTTCTTTATATTTGTCATTTCAAGGTTTTGCAGATAGATTTAAGAATAAACCCATAAATATGTAAAAATGTGGTATGTTTTACTCCTCGGATCCAAAATATATGACATATTTTTAGTGTAATTTACACTATAAAAGGGGTTCTATATGTAGGATTGGAGGAGTACTAAATTTGACCCTCATTTATTTTTGTAAAAACTATTAATGAAAAGAAGAAAAAAAATTGAATTATACGCAACAGTTTACTACAAAAGCGTTAAAAGCACCACTAATTAGTCGAATGACAAAAGAAGAAAAGTATCATTAAATAGTGTTTTAAAGTTAACAAGTAATATGAAATACGTTTTTTCCTTTTATTATGTTTTTTGCAAACCGATCTTCCTTTCTTTTTACCAGACAAACCGATCTTACTTGCTTCTCTTCTCTTCCTTTTTCCTACTGTTTTATATTTGAAAAAGATTGTCCCTTTTCTTATTTATTCTTCTTTCTCTTTCTCCTAAAAATTTCCTATTAATTTTCTTTTCCTTATTCTATGGTACTTCCTTTTCTTTCTTAACAATTACTCTATCCTAAAAATATCATTTTGTCTTGAATAAAAAAAAATCCTATCTCTTTTTTTATAAGTTATAACCTTAATTTTTTTTTTCCCGTTTATCTCTTCTTCTCTTTTCTTTTCCTTTTCGGAAAAAAATTTAAAATGTAGCTTTTTAGGAGCAAAATTAAGGCGCTGGATTTGAAAATAATTTTGATTCGTCATGGCATCCATTTGGCAATTATTTCAGTTATCCTTATCTCCTTAAAATGCAAGCTTAAAGATCAGAATAAATAATTCAAATTTTTTAATTATTTTTTTCTTATTAAAAAACTTTATCTTAGATTCAGCTCCTAAATAATGACATCGTCAGTGTATTTTCTTTTTTAGCCTAATGTTGTTCTTCCTTTTTTTTTTTTCAGTTTCTTTTTACTTTTTATAACAAAACTCAACGAATTTATCTCACTTCTTTCTGATTTTATCTATTTTCATAATATTATCATAAAAATAATTGTACAAAATACAGTATTCACAAAAAAATTTGAAGAAAATAATTTAATTAGTTGATTATAATTTTTTCCTCAATGTTGGAAAAGAAAGAGTTTTTTACTATTTCTATTTCCCCAACTTTTGATTGAATGTAGCACTTAGTGTGTTATGGTAGGCTGTTTCCAATACTGATTATTTTATAAATATAAACTCATTTTTCTAAGTATTTAAAGTAATTAGGTGTAATAATTCACTGAACTGGAGGAACAACTTTAAAATAATGATTGAGATTATATTTGTAACATTTTGAATTTTAAGCCTAGAAGCACTAGAATTAGCTTGGAATTAGTAAGCTACCAAAGCACTTTTGGCAGGAGTTTCAGAAATTTCCTAAAAAGACGAAAGATTTCAAGGACTAAATCGCAAAGTAAGACTTTTCTGGAATCACGAGATAGGCAAGTTAAAGACTTTGATAAAGTCTTGAAGGCTCAAGTATGAGAATTGGATATGATTAAGGGCCAAAGGTTATGCTAAGAACCTCAATGAGATGATTCCTAAGGCTAAACCCAAGTACGGACTTAATTGTAAATTCAGAAAGTTTCGGGCCGAAAAGGACAATAATGGAAAGTAAGTCCAAAAATTCTAGAAAATTTTAGAAAAGTGGGAAATGAGATTCCGAGACCCACATAAGCTTAAAAATGATGAAAATACCCCTAGAGCAAATTGATAAATTTCTTAGGGTTTTGGCTAATTATGAATATTAGCCAAAAGTGAATTATTTAAAATACGAGGAGATCTCAAATAATTGGAGAAAAATGGAAAATAATACTTGAGGAATTATTACAGGTTTTAAAAATAATTTTGTCCCCAGAAAATAAAGATGTTGGTTTTAATAGAATTTAAAACCTATTTATACACTATCTAAGGAAAGTCAAAATAACTGTCTATGAGTTGACTTTTGAGTTTAGAAAAATTTAAAAATTTTGTCAGATTCTCAGAGTCATGGACTTATAGAAAAAATTTGGTCAAGTTTACTTTGAAATAAATTTTATTAAATGTTTTAATGAAAAAACAAAGGGAAGAGCATGATCCCTTTTATACATGTTATATGATGCCATGAGGACTTATTTGTAATAAGGAAAGAGTGTCAGAATATGTCCCAATAGTATGAGGTAAGTCAGGACCTAAAAAAATACAGGACACGGCGTAAAATGACAAGATAGGTAAAGAAATAGTTAAGGGTATGGTTATGCACAAATTTCCTTTCATTTTTCCTTCCTATTTTATTGCCAAATTGATTAAAGGACTTGGAAGGGATTAGATGATTTCTTAGTTGGAAGAAGAATTAAATATTATTTGTAATTAGTACACATGGCAAGTAATTAAGCTAAAAGGCAAGAGATTTGTACACTTAATAGAAGGCTTGGAACGGAGGGTGGAAGATCAAGCACACATGGCAAGAGATCAAGCATGAAGTCATGGGATTGTAAACTTAGAATAGAGTTAAAATGAATGGTTAGATCATGAGCCACATAACCCTCGTACTTTTGATCAATTTCAAGGGCCAAGTTCTAATTAGGGTATTATACATACCATTCCCTCCCATTCATTTCCAGCTAATAGAGGAAAGGGAGGTGGAGATTGAAATCGAAGAAGGTGAAGAGAAAAAGCAAAAGAAACCATGCAAGATCATGTTCTAAGACAATGTATATTTATAGTTTTTGATATAGTTTATTTTGCTATTTGTTTTATCGAGCTTAGCCATTGTTTTGATGGGATTTGGAAACATATGAGATGCTGTCCAAATTTGGATTAGTAGAGGAAAGAATTGATTGAATTTAAATTAAGGATTAAAGGCTAGATGAGGACAAGAATCAAGTGGTTATGTGATGAATTTGCAAGAAACTCCACTTTTCCCTAATTTCTGTAATTTTCAGCCAGAGCCAGAGTTCTTGATAGGGTTGGATTTTGATGATTTTGATGCATGCGTTTAAAATGAAAAATTGTGTAGGATAAAGGCGAGAAAACAAGTTTGGAAGTATTGGAATTGAAAATAGAATTTTGAGTCCCAAGATCCCATGTTTCGGCTAGATCAGTTTTAGTATGGAGGAGTTTGTTTTTGATAATTTTGAACTTGAAAATGGATTCTGTATGCAAAATTATGGGGAATAGCATATAAAATTAATTTTAGAAAGATTAAAATCAAACTCAAAAGTTAGAAGTCAAGATGGTTTAAAGAGAACAAAGTATTGATATTATTTGTTACCATGGCTCTAATAAAGAAATGGCACTGATATGTTGATGTCTTCAGGGTCATGAAACATTAAAGAAAAGAAATGGGAAGGTTGATCAAGCAAGCTTAATGGTTGGAAGTAAAAGGAGCAAGAGAAAGCTTAAAGACAAAAAGTAGTAAACTTGCCCTTATTATGTGCTTGATATGTATGCCTAAGTGTTAATGTTGCTTGATGATGATTTAGAATATGAAAGATTAAATATTGTTCTGTTTCTTATATGTTTCATGGCCATGTGTGAATGAAATATTGAGCATTAAAGCATGCTATTTTATAAGCATGAAAGCACAAACACATGAAACCAAGTATGTCATCCACTTAGTATTTGTTTTGCATACATATTGGGTAATATTTGCTATTGAGATTCTTCTGAATCTCACCCTCCATTGACCAATCCTAATAGGTGTTAATGAGCAAGAAAAAAGATGCATGAAGTGAAAGCAAGTAAGAGGGGAAGAGAATTGAGGAAATATATTACATTACATTATGTAATTTCTATGCCAATGTATGATATGAATATGCCATTGGTATTAGGTAATGTGTAAGAACAATAATGGCATATATAATTGGTTATTATGAGATATGAAAATGACTAGTGCATTGATGGAATGATAATATGTATGAAAAGAATTATGTATTCTTAATGCCAGTTAATGAGATAGTTTACCCTTAAATGAGCCACAAATTTATGATAAAGTAAAAGTGAGGCAAACGATGGAATCTGTCTATGAAATTTGGTATCTTTAAATTACACATTCTAAACTTTAAAACAAGTGGTAGATCACTTAAAAT